TAGATACTAGATACTAGATACTAGATACTAGATACTAGATACTAGATACTAGATACTAGATACTAGATACTAGATACTAGATACTAGATACAGATAGCAATTAGTAGATTGCAGATAGTAGATAGCAGATAAAGACAGAACAGATAGAAAAGAGACAGGCAGAGTTTTAGATTTATAGATTTTTGATACAACTGAAGTCTTAATTGGTATTACATTATGCACATCGCTTCCCTAACCAACATTTTCAATTAACCATCCAATTTTGAGGGACTCGCCTTGGATTATAAAGCCCATTGGTAAGCCTCTCTATGGCTGTGGTCTACAGTTTTTTACATGGGCAGTCCGCAGTCAATATGATTTAGATGCGACACTGAATGCCTGAAAGCGTTAGCAGCTGTAACATCAACAACGACACATACACACACACGCATAGCACAGCAACAACAACAAAAATCATGACAACATCTGTACTAGCACTGCGAACAAGAAACCAAAAAAAAAAAAAAAACCGGAAATTTCCGTCAAATAAGAAAGAAAAACAAGAAACAATGTCTTGCCAAGTGTGACCGACCTGAAAATATCCCGTTATCTTGTCTCAATATAACTTTATAAATAGATATAATTGAGTTTGAAAAGATATATCCAAAAGGTAATATATAAATTTTTTCAAAATTAAAGCTCTTTTGGATCGCAATTTCATCTTATTTAGAGAAGCTAACATGTAACATTTGGTACTAACCGTACGACCCTTTCGAATGGGTATCGAATACAGAAGGAGAATAGAATGAAAGCAACAACAGATGAATACAGCGAAGAGCAACGAGCTAGTGGCCAACTGGCTGGAAAGTAAAAAATTTCATGCATGACCGAAATACAAAAAGAGGTATTGTGTCCGTCCTATGGAGTCGCTCTGTGTGAGCGCTTGTTATTTTAGATGGTGCATACTTTTAGGCCCCAGCGCCATGACCAGGCATGACATAGAGCCAAGAACAGCATATGACACCCGTAGCAATAGCAAAAGCAGGAGCAGCAGCAGCTGGAGCAGCAGAAGCAGGAACAGCATCAGCAGGAGCAGCTGCAGCAGGAGTCGCAGCAGAAGGAGCAGCATGTGTTGCTTCGATGTTACGCAGTCTCTTCGTCTTCCTCAATTTCAGCTTGCTGCGCGTTTTTCTCGCTGTGTCAAATGGAGCGGTCCACCGCGTCGTAATTGAGTTTTGAATGGATTGAACGACATACAATGCATTCCAGAGCAGATAAAATGCGAATCCCTGCAGCCATTTTCCGGCTAGTGCGTAACAATGTTAATTGAAATCGGTTAAGCTAATTTTCTAGCAAATTCGAACAATTGCCGTTAGTCGACTACCAATTAGTCATTCATTATTAATATTCATTAAGTCATCAATTATAATTACCTGATGGGTGAAAAAAGGCTTAATTCATGCCTTTATGGTAATATATTAACATCTACGATATTTCGGTTTAATTAATGTGCTGCTTAAATCATGAATACTTAATCACAATTACATTTGCACTTTTACCGTGGCATGCGAATAATTGCAGTGCGTATTAAATGAAGCCAAGTAAGTCTCACAGGAGTTTTTGATATTGTTTTACAAACTCGTATTTAAATCCATTAATGTTGGCTCAAATTAGCTGAAAATATATTAATGTGATTCTTTTTATTTTATAAAATATATGTATATAATATTATTAAATAGGGTTTATTTATGGAGCTGTAGTCAGCTTAAGATTATCTTTGAGAATTTGGCTTACAATTAATTTATTTATTGATTTAAGTGGCGTTATAAATTTGATGCTCTGAACTCAATATAACTCAGGCTATATTTGTTTTGCATATCGAGTTTGTTTTAAATAAAATAAAAGCTATTTTTATTTTAATGCCATCGATTAAAAAGCTTTTGCAAAATTTTATATTAAATTTATAATCGTTAAGGCTGGAGTTTAATTTATGTACATTTTATGAAACTTTAATTTTGGTTATTTTATACAGTTTTGATTTGCTTTACATTTTGCATAAATCAATAATTTAATATCGTTTTTTAGTGAGGTTTCTAATATTTAAGAATAATAAACTTTTTAGATTTTTTCATATCTACCACCCGATTCTAAGCTTGACAAACTCAAATATACAACTCTAAAATAAATAATAAAAATGTTTCATTTTTAATTAAATAATAATTCACATTTTATACGAGCTTAGAAGTACATTTATTGTTTGCTGTATAATGTCTCTATTTCGTTTTATGTCCACACATGGTCAGGCCCACACTTGAACTAATTTTGCTGGTAATGTGAGTCCAGTTTGGCGTCTATGCCAAATTGTTATAGATATACTCGAAGGCGGCAAAGTTCACAATAGAATTGTGTGGCAAACAAAGGAGTGTTGGCCGGGACGGAAGAGTTTTGACCAGGCCATTGCGTGGTCGACCTGATGGTCCCTTAGGGTCATACACGTTTTACAATTTCGCAAACACTTTGGGAGCAAAGTGAAAGCAATTCAATCTGTGGCTAGCTGGTAAATGTTTGGCTATCGCTGGTGGCTCACTGGTGTCACGAGCTCGTCCTGATTGAGTTGGCCTCCGTTCACTTTTGACAGACACGAACCAAGATTGGGATAGTTGGTATGGACGATTCCGGTTGGCTGTTTCAATTTATTTTTCATATTCTGTGTGCTTTGGCGTTTTTGTTTTAGTTTGCTATTTTGTTATGAAATCTCTACGGCTCGCGTACAAAATGCCAAAAGTTAAAATAAATACACAAACAAACGCACACAAGCACACACACACACACTCACACATACATAGACCGACAGGACATGCGACAGGAAGCACTTGCAAAAGTATGCCAACAATATTTTTGCTTTCTGTGTGCTTTGTGCTATTGAAAAGGAAATAAATGAATGGCAAGCAGAAAAGTTAAATCACCTCGAGCACGACGCCTATGCTGAACGTGGCGGGCATTGTATGTTTTTGCACTTCCCACCCCATCACCCCACCACCCCGCCGCACTGCCGCTCCATTACCCCACCATTTTACCACAGCGCGTATACGCAATATTCGAGCTTAATGCTACCGTAAGCCAGTTGCTGAGCTCTGCTCTTTGGTTAGACTCAAAGCTAGTCACAATTTCCATTTCCATTTCCATTTCTGTTTGCTGCTATTTCACGGTTTCACTCCCTTTTCCATTTACCATCTAATTGGGGCCCCCAATTGCGCCTAAAAATATGACCCTAAAAGATGGAATTTATTTTTTTCAATGTCAACTTGAAATGGATTCTTTAACAGAAAACTAGAAGTTTCAGAAATTCTACAACATTTTCCAGGAGAATTTAGCTTTAAAATCTAAATAGCCGAACACGAATATTTTAAATAAAGTATAAAAAATGGAATAACTAGATAGTAGGTAGGTCACGTACATGGCTGTCAGCGAATACAGTCGAACACGTCTCTCGCAGAGCCAAATCCTTCCCTCATAAATCAGTAAAGCCGAGACCTCTGCTTTACTTTTTGGAACATTCAAATGCAAATTTAAATAGGCGTCTTATTTTAAACAAAAAGTTTAGCTGAATATTAGAATAAAGATAAGGGCATATACGTTTCAAAAATGATCTGACTTTAGCGCTTGAATTTAAATAGAATTAATAGTGTAGAAGTCAAATATTATTCTTATGAAAGAATTATAAAAAGAATCTAAGCATGTTTTTATAATCTATGAATTTGTATTTGGTATGAATGCAGATTTAGATATGGGAGATATATATTTTAATTTATATACACTCACTTACAAAGACACTTAAGGTATTTGGTATTTAACTTAAAAATTCCGCTTTGTAGAACTCCCCTAAGCTGACTTCGGGAACTGAAGCTGAATAGGCTTAACGCACTTTAACTGCAGCAAATTGGTATGCAATGATCTGTAAAGCTATAATGCACTGAAACGATCAAAAATTGTTTGGCCACGCCTTATAATTACCTTGTATTAGCTGCAAGTGAGTAATGAACAGGTGCAAAAAGGCAAGAGTGAGCTGCAAAGTATTGATCGAATAAGAGATGCCTTGTAGACTCGTAACTATATAAAACTGACGATTCTTATTAATTTTTTTTTTTGTATTCACTGTAAAATAGTTCAGGAATAACAGATAAAATTTGTAATTGTGAATGTAATATTAGATTATTATTAAATTAAGAAATAGATTTAAGGAATTATCATCATAATGTTTTTGCTAATGAGTTGATATATATGTCGTGTCAGTGCGATATTACACTGTTGAAATTGCAATTAGATATCTGGATACTGTGTTAATCGATTGATTTAGTATTGTGGTGCAATTAAAGGACGCACTGTCACTAAGAGAGAGACAACAATAGCTGTTGCTGAACGTAGTCCCGGGTGTCGCTGGGTGAGAGCGAGACGGCTAGTCATGCCGTTCGCAGCAGGGTCGCTGTGCTTTCGATGAACAAGAATATGCGACCATGATTAGAACTTTCGAGAGTAGAAGAGAGGACACACTTGGAATGACTATTGAACGAGAAAGACCATTAAAAAGAGTTTAGCGACACACCGGGAATTCGTTATTACGCGCAGCTAAGATGGACAACCAGTATGAGAAACGCATCGCCCCGACATATATTTATTAAATTTAAAAATCGATATAAGGATAATTTGATACAGAATTTATATTAGTTTTACCTTATATTCCAGCCACACACATTTCCAAATTCTTATTATACCCGCTATATCTATATTCAAAATAATTCAGAGTATACAAAAATATATTGTATATAAATAAATAAAAAAAAAAAAAAAAACTAACTGAATACAATTAACATTGCTCTTACGTAAACATTCCATTTGCTTTAATGTTCGAGAGTAAATCGTTAAAGCGAAACAGAACAAATTGAAAGAAAACAATTGAAAGCAAAGCAACTGTTTATTTGCGCATCGGGACGAGGCAATTAGTGAATTTCATTTGTTACAATTGTATTTTGTGGTGCGGGAATCGTGTGGTAAATATGAAAACGAAATCGTGAAAACATTCATTCCGGCCAGCTGCAGCCGTAGAGATCAATAACAGGCGCAGAGGCGAAACTGCTTCCCGTAAACAGAATTAACGACTTTAATTCATTTTTACTTGACTGATGACGGCAAACAGCGAATAGGCCATTTTCACTGTAGCAAAGAAGGTATCCAAATTAATTACAATCAATCCCCCAGCCATAAATGGGTGTTCAGCCAGTCGCAATGTTAGTTGGGTGAAGGTGACCACGTTTTGGCGATACCGCCTCGACTGCTGATACCAATTGCCCGAAAATACGGCGTATGGCAGCTGCTCCATTCGCTCCGTCACAACGCTGGCAAAGTAGCAGCTGGGAAATATCTGCAGACAGACAACAGCCAATAAGACGACATTGAAGGCCAAGACGGTGGTGTTCATTTCATAGAATGCCATATGGGAGGCAATGATGCACATACTTATGCCGCAGAAGAGTATCTGTACGAACTGTACGGGGCTGATAATTTTTCGTGTTAGCTTGAGCATTCTGAAAAAAAAGAAAATATATATATGTATATATGAAACAAAAAAAGATTTATTACAAAAGATTGATTGCAAATTTGGTTAAGAACAGACGGGAATTCACAAAATATGTAATACATATAACTTGTATAGGAAACTTCTCCTAATTGATTGACTGATGGCAGATAAACTTATGATAGCTTCATCACTCGATTAGCTTGACGTCTTTGCAAGCATCTCACCTCATCAGTAGCCTGTAGTCCTCGAAATAGAGACGTAGTTGCTGATACGTTTGACTTTCGGGTATCTTCCTATAGCCGAGACGCGACATACGTATGCTGAAGAGATGCATGTGACCGGCGATATTACACAGTGTGAGCGGAGTGTAAACGTCATTTGTCAGGCCCACAAAGGCCTTGACCACTATGCAAATATACTGATAGGCAAAGATGCTGTAGTAGGGCAGGCCACCAGTTCGCCAGTCGAACGGCACATAGGCCTCGTAAAGTAATTTACGAGGATCTGTCAGTAGGATTAAAATCGCGACAAGTACACTCATTCCGTAGACGAACGTATAGCTTGAATAAATGCAGCCGGTTAGTCGATTCATTTGTTTCTGCAGCGTGTTCCTATAATACTGATGCTCCGCCGTGCTCTGCACACATTTATCCAGTTGATTGAGAATTCTCTCAATCTCCAACATGTCTGACAGTCGCCATATTTGCGCATAATGTTTCAAGCTGCACGAGATGCTCATGATAGTGATTGTTAGACACTTGAATAGATCGGCCCGTGTAGTCGTCGGCAGCAGCAGCCCCAGCCCCACATGTATTGGAAATAGAGCTGTAATCAGCAAATGCAGCAACGCCATATAGACATAGACCGCACGTGACCTGGAGCCAAAGAATATCGGTGCCAGCACTCGAAAGAAGCGCCACAATGGACGATAGGCGCGCGTACTGTCGATGACCATGATGAGACACGTTTAACGGAACAGGTAGTCCGCCAGACAGCTTTTATGGGTGTCGCATTAAGCGATTTTTAAATGCTTTCCATACAATTTTCATTAATTCCTCTAATGACAGCCATTAAGCGCCAATTTAGGCAAAATTAATATGCAAATGAGAGATTAATGCATTTGCACTTTTCTCAAGAAGTCACACTCTTTTAATAAGAGAATATATAAATCAAGTTTTTGATAAATATTATATAGATAGATTATATAGGTTACATTGAACAAAAGTTTGTTTTCGCTAAATAATTTATATTATTTTTATTAAATTCCAATTTATGAAAATCTTTATTAAAATTAAATTAAATTCTTTACTTATGGCCACAGGACTTAGGCCTTAAGAGAGTATAATGTCTGGATCTGCAACCAAGAGATTTTGCCAAGTATATTCTCTGTACAACGTGGGTATTACTTAAATGGCGATTACTGTACTATCCTGCCCAGTCTGTTCAGCAGCTGAGGCCACAAACACCTCCAAGTAAAAAGCACTGAATAATACATCGAGTTAGTGCCATAATTACTGTCATACAATGTCATTTGACTGTCATTAACCAAGTCTCTTCTGCGCTTTTCGCAGTTTAGAATACGTTTTTAATTTGTGGCCCATGAAAGCAGCCGAAAGTTTGAAATTAACATTTGGATACTTCGTTGCGCTGATTGGGATAAGTACCTATCGCAGGGCACGTATATATGGTCTTCCCAAGGCGCAACGACACTCACTAATACTTTGTCTTTTCTGCGCTTTTCGTGCTCTAAAGGTCTATGTTTTATGGTCACAGCGGTAACGTTGCATGCAAATATTGTAGACAAAGGCGATGGGAACAACAATGTTTAGGTGACGGAAGGAGCCAGTTCCGGCTTGACGGCAGCCTAGCCAACTGAAGCCCAGATGATGCAAGAGCATTTTATGCTTACTTTGCTTTGGCTGACTGCAGCCAGGCGGCGTTGCCAGCAGCTACATCTCCTTCTTCTCTTCGCTCCTTAAACACTTCCCAGAGACTTTGGCAGTTTCGTTGTTGGCCGTCAGTCAAAACATTACGACAAAAGTTCATAGCCAGCGTCTCACGCTTCGTATACGTAATGCCGAAATGAGCATCCGTGACAAAAGTGAATACAAAACGGAAAACGAATTAAGGAGACAAGCATGCTTAAAGAGAAGCTGTAATCAGATACCCTGTAAAATGTAAAATAATCCTTATGAAAGAATTATAAAAAATATCTAAGCATGTTTTCACAATCTATGAATTTTTATATGGTATGAATGCAGATTTAGATATGGGAGATATATATTTTAATTTATATACACTCACTTACAAAGACACTTAAGGTATTTGGGCAAGCGCGTAGGAGCCGCAGATGAGACAAACTTTTTGGGCTGACTTTTCTTGTTCGAATCGATTTTTGTTTGTGGTTTCCGGCATAAAAGTTGGCACAAAAAGTTATTTGATTTGGAACTTTCTTTTTTGGTACATATAGCCCGGTATATGTGTTATATTTACACTAAATTAATGAAAATCACAACTGTGTGCAGAATGTAATTTAATTCCTGTTGCCGCTTGTCGTGCCAAGGGGCAACTTACGCGTGGCCGACAACATCAACTTGCCAAACAAAACAGCCCCGAACTGTAGCATTTTATCAGACAACTGACAGTTTTTAAATTTATCAAATAGCAGCAGCAGCTGGAGCCAGTGGCAAGCCGGAGTTGAAGCGCATCTGTGAGGTTTCACGGTTAACCAAGCAGTTGCTTTCGCTTCTCCTCCTGCTTCCACAGTCTATTCAAGCGATAAGCAAGTTAGCAATTTCAGCTTGTCGTGTTGTTTGCATTGTAATTTATAAGCATTTCATTCTGTTTGATTTCCTCCAGCGCTGTCTGCCTGCCCGCCTGCCCGCCTGCCCACCCACCCGCCTCTCTGTCTACATACATACGTATATCTGCTCAATATCAAGCTCATGGCAAATGCTTTTTTTTATTACACCTCTTGCATTAAAATCGAACTAATTTCGCTGCTCGACACACATCACAAGCTGTGTGCTAAAGTAAACAATTAAAATTTCCTTCGAATCGGGGGAATATTTACTTTCTGCTCTCCGATCTATCTGTCCCCTGCTCTCGCCTCGCCTGAATTTTTAATGCCCGAATTGAATTCCCATAAAACGCAAAACTTTTATCGTGCTCAGTGCATAAAGTCGTGTGGATAGGTTTAGCTGGTTTATCTGCTGCTCTGCGGTTGCACTAAACCTGAAACAATGCGATTCAACCCAGCCCAAGTCCAAGCCCAAGCCCTAGCCCTAGCCCCAGCCCCAGCCCCAGCCCCAGCCAAATTTAATGCGCAGCTATATTTTGCCCCATAAAACGGACTGAGTTGACAGCTCGCAAGAGAAACAAATGGAGTGAATTTATTGTGAAATTGCACAAATTTTTTATATTTTACTAGCAAGATTTTGCAGATTTATTTAAAAAATAAATTCAACTAGTTTAAAAACAATGTGTTTGCATAAGAAATATTTAATATTATTTGGCAACAATTGTTACATAAATGATTCTATTCTTTAAAATAATATTTTTTAGTTTATTCCATAAACCGACTGAAACAAAAGGAATAGAAAAACCATAAAAATGTCTCATTTCCAGCAAACTTCTGCGGTTGCCCTGCTCTAGATAGTAACTAGATAGTAACTAGATAGTAACTAGAAAAAAAAAAATAGTCTACAACAATTATTCATGCTATATGTAAAAATATATATGTGCTTATCACAGTTTTATTTATCCATACTTATATATTTGAAACTTGTATTTGTAAATGAAATTGAGCAACTATAAAATTAAATTCTTGTAAATCTGTACAAAATATGATAATATATTATTTTTCTTTAGTTTACCTTAAGAAGTAAGAAAAATCCCCTTTTTCGATATTTGTTTATGGCTAGGTTGGTTAGGTAATTATTTTCTTATCACTTTATGCCTTTCGGTTATGTTTTGTTCAACAAATTTCAAACGATTTTTTATTAGCTATTTGCAAGAACAACGCGCCGAGAACAACTCAACAGCGCAATTTTTTATAGATTATTTCGCCAGGCTTGGGGCATGCTTCAACTGTGGGGCATGTGGCAAAGGGGATCCCAACAACAACAACAACAACAACAACAACAACAACAACTTTAATGTCTCGCCAGCTGTGCTGTTTATTTAGTCTGGCCACGGTCTGCTTTTGAGCATATGAGCACATACATATGCGAGAGTGTGTGAGCGTGTGTATATAATAGGTATTGGGGCTATGCGTGTGTGTGTGTGTGTGATGAGTATTTGTGGTCGTGCCAGTGGCTAATCGTCTAATTTTATCATGTGGTTATCCGCGTTTAAGTGCTGCAAAGTGTGGAACGATTTGTATAGTGCGCTGTGGCGCGCCTCGAATCGAATTCGCTTGACTCGACTCGCAACTGCGGTTTACGACTTAAGCTACAGATGTATTAGTGGAAGTAAAACGACGAACTTAAATATCGGCACACCGCATGCATGTACATACTATATGCATGTAATTCTAGTTTGTAAAACTTGTCAGCTGCCATTAGCCTAATGGACGGCCCCACCAAGTCGCGAGTGGCAGCCCCTTTGGCCTTCACACACACTTGAGTCAAAGACGCTCATTAGACGCTTGGCATCTAAAGCGACCCTAAAAACAAAGGCGAAAGGCGTAAACAAAACGACAAAAATGCCACTCGTTTGGAATGCACAAAAATTGCTAGAAAAGGTCACCTAAAATAGCTAGAATTGTGAAAAAAAAAACACGTGCACAGCATCACGAAGCTCGTACATTCTATACAGATAGTCAGTGAGAGTAACGGTTTATATATATGGAGATGTGAAGCAACTACTAAATAATAGTTAATACTAAAAAATCTTAATAATAATAATAAGAGATCAATGATCAACCTATGATGAAAAATATGTCCAAAATAAGTCCAAAACATCTCTAATTTATCCTGTTACATATTTTGATAGATATTCAACATATATCTGCATAGCTAGTGTATATTTCTCTTCGTTCGCATATATTTAGTGTAATAAAAAATAAATACGCGCAAGAGCACAAAATTGTCATCGCTTTGCTGCACCTGAAAGCGAATTGCTGTAAAAGGATGCAAATTAATTGGCTGGCAGTCTGCCCGTAAAGAGGAAATGGCGAACAGAAAGCTGCTTGCCGGAAAGTAACGGCGGTCATGGGTTCAGCATATTTGTTTTGTATCGCGTTACGCATACGCCATGCTTGCTCGAGAAGGACATCATGTATATATAGATATATATATATATATATGTGTGTATCTGGCGCCATGTTAGGCCTCAGGACAATCAATCAAATGCTACAATGACGCAGTTGGCCAGCTCATATAGCCGACTTCACCCTTTGTTGTGATCGCATCGACTTGGCCGGCGCTTGGGCGCTTGGGCGCTGTTTCCGGTTTCAATTTTACATAAAACGCAACGCTTCCCAGACAACATTGTGCACTGTCATACAAAAATATGCCAACTATTGGCAGGGAATATTGAATATGGGAAATGTAGCTAAAAGTTTATTTAATATTGTTATAATTTTTGTTCGCTATCTTTATCAGATTTCAATAATTAAATTGCATTAAATCATAGACTGTTTTTCATTTATGTTCATCCAAATATTATTTTGTAGCTCTATTCATATGACATTATGTATGAAGTAGCACGGACTCAGCTCTCCGAGCTCCATTAGGCTGCTGGATGCATACTGAATAGAAGCTTTGGAATCAGTAAATAAGTTGAATGTGCGTATTTTACTCTAAACCAATCAAGTTGTTCTACTTACCTAAATCAATATATTTAGGCAGCATCAAATTTGAAATTCTCCATCTCTAGCCGCTTTGTTGACAGACTTGTCCGGCTCAGGCGAGTTGTGTGCTTAACAAGCTGCTTATAGCAGCAGCATGATTA